CTTTAGGGCTCTCCTTTGGGATCTCCCTTTAGGACTCCCCCTTTTAGGGCTCTCCCTTTGGGGCTCTCCCTTTAGGGCTCCCCCTTTTAGGGCTCCCCCTTTTAGGGCTCTCCCTTTTAGGGCTCCCCCTCTAGGGATCTCCCTTAGGGCTCCCCCCTTTAGGGCTCCTCCTTTAGGGCTCCCCCTTTTAGGGCTCTCCCTTTAGGGCTCCCCCTTTTAGGGCTCCCCCCTTTAGGACTCCCCCTTTTAGGGCTCTCCCTTTGGGGCTCTCCTTTGGGATCTCCTTTTAGGACTCCCCCTTTTAGGGCTCTCCCTTTAGGGCTTCCCTTTTAGGGCTCTCCCTTTGGGGCTCTCCTTTGGGATCTTCCTTTAGGATTCCCCCTTTTAGGGCTCCCCTTTCAGGGCTCCCCCTTTAGGGCTCTCCTTTAGGATCTCCCTTTAGGGCTCCCCCTTTGGGGCTCTCCTTTGGGATCTCCTTTTAGGGCTCCCCCTTTTAGGGCTCCCCCTTTAGGGCTCCCCCTTTAGGGATCTCCTTTGGGATCTCCCTTTAGGGCTCCCCCTTTTAGGACTCCCCCTTTAGAGCTCTCCCTTTGGCCTCTCCCTTCGATGCTCCTTTTGGGGCACCTTTTATGGATCCCCTTTAATCTCCTGCCCCCAACCTCACCCCCCTTTTGTCCCCCCCCCTGCAGAAGCAGGCTCTGATGGAGCAGGTCGCCCACCAGACCATCGTCATGCAGTTCATCCTGGAATTGGCCAAGAGCCTCAAAGTCGATCCTCGCGCCTGCTTCCGCCAATTCTTCACCAAGATCAAGGTGGGCATCACCCCCCCCCCTAAAAAAAAAACCCTAAAAGGAGTGAATTCCCACCCAAACCCACCCCTCCCGGCCCTCAGACCGCCGACCAGCAGTACATGGAGGGCTTCAACGACGAGCTGGAGGCCTTCAAGGAGCGCGTGCGCGGCCGCGCCAAGGCGCGCATCGAGAGGGCGATGAAGGAGTACGAGGAAGAGGAGCGGCAGAAGCGCCTGGGGCCCGGCGGCCTCGACCCCGTGGACGTCTACGAGTCCCTGCCGCCCGTGAGTGAGGGGCTCTGGGGCTTGGGTTGTCACTTTTTGGGCTCAGAGCCCCACGTTTGGGGACAAAAACGTGATTTCTGGGTGCAGGTCCCCGCTTTCTGGGCTCAGATCCCCGCTTTCTGGGCTCAGGTCCCCACATTTTGGGCTCAGGTCCCCACGTTTGGGGCTCAGGTCCCCACATTTTGGGCTCAGGTCCCCACGTTTGGGGCCAAAAACCCGATTTCTGGGCTCAGGTCCCCGCTATCTGGGCTTAAATCCCCACGTTTGGGGCCAAAAACCCAATTTCTGGGATCAGGTCCCCACGTTTTGGGCTCAGATCCTCACGTTTTGGGCTCAGATTGCCCCTTTTTAGGCTCAGATCCCCACGTTTTGGGTTCAGGTCCCCATGTTTTGGTCTCAGATCACCACTTTCTGGACTCAGATCCCCGCTTTCTGGGCTCAGATCCCCGCTTTCTGGGCTCAGAGCCCCACGTTTGGGGACAAAAACCCGATTTCTGGGCTCAGGTCCCCGCTTTCTGGGCTCAGATCCCCGCTTTCTGGGCTCAGGTCCCCACATTTTGGGCTCAGGTCCCCACGTTTGGGGCCAAAAACCCACCTTCTGGGCTCAGGTCCCCACGTTTGGGGCCAAAAACCCGATTTCTGGGCTCAGGTCCCTGCTTTTTGGGCTCAGGTCCCCACGTTTGGGGCCAAAAACCCGATTTCTGGGCTCAGGTCCCCGCTTTCTGGG